GATCTTGTCTTGCTGATCACTTTTGCTAATATAAGTTTCCACATCTATTATTGTTTTTTCAGATATTAGACAAAAGCACAAATAAATGGTAAAAATCATTATTAATGGGCAATAACTCAATGAAGGATTCGTCATAGGATTTCAGTCATGTAAACCTATTTGTAGATCTTATCTTGCTGATCATTTTTGCTTATTCAAGTTTCCATCTATCTATTATTGTTTTCAAGATATTAGAAAAAAAGCAAAACATTAGTAAAATTTGTCATATAAGGGCAATACCTCCTATAAGAAGTAGTCTAACAGTTTTGATGGAAACAGACAATGTGTAGACATCATCATTCTGAACATATTTGCCTTGTCAGATTTTCTCCATCCATATTGGTTTTCAAGATAATAGAACAAACTTGCATTTTACCCCAATGTTCTATTTTTAGCCATGTCAGCCATCTTGGTTGACAGGCGGGGTCATCGACACATTTTATAAACTAGATACCCCAATGATGCTTGTGTCCAAGTTTGGTTAGATTTGGCCCTGTTGTTTCAGAGAAGGTTTTTGTAAAAGTTAACCGACAAAGACAACAGACGCCTGAAGCCAAGTGATAAGAAAAGCTCACTTGGCCCTGTGGGCCAGGTGAGCTAAAAAAACATGATTATAATTTTTGACTTCCTATTTTTATCTTGATACCCCCTTCCAGATTACATGAACAATTATACCTTTAGAAAACATTAAAATTCAAGATCTACATCTTTGCATAATGAAAATGAAGCACATCAACATGTTCTTGGATGAATAGTTCATAAATCTAAGCATTTACATGCTCATAGATGAATAGTTCATAAATCTATTTATTGCTTCTTACCATGAAAGTCCGCTCCAATGCCCATTCCCAGCTTCAATCCTTACAGACAAGCTGTGATGCTAACCTGAAATATAAAATGCTTATTCAATAAAAATTGTTTAAAATGATCATTGTTAATATACTGCAAGTATATTAAATAGAAATAGTCTATAAATGTGTAATAGATGTTGAGAACAGATGGATTAGATAGCAATCCTGCAACCCAACAAATTTTTAAGTAATTGGGTCAATATCCCTTATGCGCCTCAGTGAGGAACTCAACTATGAATAGAAATAAAATAAGAATGTGTCTGAGGACACGAATGTCCCCGCTCAAGCTTTGCAATTTTCCAAGTTTTAAATGGACACAACACTAGAACAGTAAATGACTAACAACCCAAATTAGAACTATGTCTGCTTGTTTTGGTTCTTAGCATTGTGTATGAGTTTCATAAAATTTAAATGAGAAAAACTTGTTCGAGTGTGGAAAGTAAAATTTTCCAAGTTATAAAGGGGTATAACTCTAGAACGGCCAGTGATTCAATGCCCAAATTCGAACTCTGTCTGCGAGTTTTGTTTCTTAGCATTGTGTATGGACAGAGGAATGGAAGAAAAGGCTACCATTGTCGCCTGTCTGAAATGAAATGCTCATCTTGAGCCAATTACATCAGATCCTTATACTTACTCATATCAAGGGTACTCATAAAAAGAGTTTTGACTTCTCACCAAATGCTTATCAACCTTCAAGCCTAAGAGCACAAACTATTTCCAAAATATTTTTTATAATACATTGTACTTTTATTTTTTTTTCAAAACATGAATAATATACTGGTACCTACCTTCCTATTAGCTGTATAAGATCAACAAGTCTTATTCCCACACCATGAAAACATGTCACAGAAGAACCTAAAAAGAATTAAAAATAGACAAATTATATATTTTACAAAACAATTTCTCTGTCAACCTAAAATTTACTAAGTACTGTTCTAATTTACACTAAATGTACATCAACACCAGTTTGTAAAATTAATATAAAAGATGGAAAAATAAAAATAAGTCAAAGGTTAATGATTTGAATTCCAACTGTACAAAATCATCTACATATTTTACAGAGTTATCTCCCATCCAATGATAAATCTAGAGGTTTATTTGGACTTGTCTCCCCTTGAAGTTTTATTCCTACGAATCTCAGGATTTAATATTGATGTTTTAATAGAAAATCATGTTCATGTACCTGGTAACTTAAAATATCAAAGGGGTAAATTTTAAATTTGTAACTGCATGAATTTGGAAGGCAAAGAAGGATGCTGTTGTCTTAAGGTAGCTGGGGTCTATAAATGTTCGACATTAGATTTTTCGTAAATTTCTGTAAGTCTTCTGGTCAAATGTACTTTCAAATTTCAATATAAAAATTGGGGGTCACAGACCTTGTTTTTTTTAAGTTAAAATACATTGAAATTAATGTAATCACAGTTATTTTATATGGGTTATATAGGGGAAACTTACTTTTTCCTTGTTGTGGAAACATTTAACTATAGAAATGGTTGAAATTCCATGAGAGAATTGCTTTTCATAAATACTTCCGAAATATCAACTAAAAATAGGGATCACAGGCCTTACTTTCTTGAAAAATCCCCAAAACACAATTTTTTTCTATCTGCCCTCGAAATTAAAAGGATTTTTTCTTTAAATTTTAATTACACTTGACACTTAATTTTTTTATAGTTAAATCTTAAAATTTCAAGTTTTAGATGTTTTCCAAATATACTGAATACCTTGTAAAATATTTTTAAACCAATTAAGTATTTTTTGAAACATGCCCAGAGGGGATCATCAGAAAAGACGCCCTATCTACTTTAATGCACATTTTTTTTTATCAAATATTTATAGAGAATGTATATAAATTATTTGGCTTAAATAAACTTGCCTTATTATTTTCTTGGTAAAGCCTCAGACTTGGTTGGAGATTTATTTAACCATCTTCCATGGAGCTGCTCTCCTGGCTGCCAAGGTGGCTGTCTTTATCTTATTATCAATCTGTTTTTTGTCCATTTGTTTTTAGAAATAAAGTTATATAGATAAAAAATATCAGATGCACTATCAACTAATAATTTTTATGAAATATTTCACCAAATCATTTTAGTGATCCATTATTTCTCCCACCCTACATATCTATTATCTAGAGCTCTGCTTACATTTTTTTTTAATTACAGAGCTCAAAATAATAGTCAATATTAGCTAGTATACATCAGATATTAAACAAAATTATACAAACATGAATATGCAAGTAAATAAAAAGCTTACAATGAGGGAATTTCAAGTATGTGGAGTTTAACAGGGGGTATAATGAATTACCTCCCTTTGACCTTAACTTCACCCTGTTAGGACCCCACATCCTTGCTTTATTTAACAAAAATACAAAAAAAAGTATAATTATAATTAAAGAATACTTAAATAACAAAAGTCGAACACTTTTCGATAACATATTTAGCATTTCAATTACTACCTAGGGCCCTTGGTGGCAGAGTGATCTAAATAAGTTATATCCAATCGTGCTGAAACTTTGAAAGTGGCATTAAATGCCAAAAATCAATCAATCTATTTACACCAAGATGTTCTTTGACTATTTTTCAAGTAAAAATTTCTTAAAAACACTGTTAAGCTTAGTGAAATTCAGATAAAAATAAACAAAATTTAGGAAAGAATCAAACAATTCGTGAAACCCAAAAAATACATTTCAGTAATATAAGCCAGTGAACATTTTTTATCCTTTTTTTTTTTTTAATAGATTTTCCATTCTTAACCAACTGGAAGTGTTTTGACTAGACAGGACCCATTATTAATATATCTTAAGTAGGTCTTCAAGGAAAATTGAAAATGAGTCTGTTTCACTTAATTTACAAAGTACAAATTAAATTTAGTCATAGGGGAAAAAAAATTATGAATACGATCTGAACTATAAACTCATAGTTACAAAACAACAAACCAAAAACTATAGTTCAGTATTCATATTACAACTTCCAATCTCATTGAAAATGGAGAATCTTTACATGATTATTATATTTTTTTTTTTTTGTAAAAATTTACAAACATTTTCTCCAACATACACAAAAATTGTTCAAATTACATTCTTTACTCTTACAGCTATATCACACAATCATTTTATGCAGCCACAGTTACCTGAAAAAGAAATATACATTCTTAAACATACCTGTCAAAACTATATAAATATTTAAACAATATCTAATGCAAAAGAATATTCATAGACGGATCCAGGGGGGGGGGGGGGGGGTCTGGGCCCCCCTTTTGTGGGAAAAATTTGATTGATTATATAGGGAATCACTGAAGCATGACTGGAGCGGGCCCCTTCTTAGGGCAACCAGTGGGCCCTCCCTTATGAAAATTTCTGGATCCGCCACTGATATTTAATTATACATTACAATTATTACGCCTATAGTTGTGACTTATTTGGTAAATAAAGATAAATTAATATATTATTTCTTTTACCTTGTTTTAAAGTGATGTGTTGACATAAATTTTGAACTACCAATCTTCATTAGCCAAAAAAAAGGATGAAAAGCAAGTTGTTGGTTGATGTCTGACAAATTTGTTTTTCATTTATTGTTTGTTGTATATCAGGCCATTGGTTTTCTTGTTGAATTTTTTCACATTGTGTCATGTTGGGGACTTTTATAGTTAAATATTCAGTATAGGTTTTTTCTCATTGTTAAAGGCCATATGGTACCCTTTAGTTGCTTACATCCACGTCAGTTGGTCTCTGGTTGATAGTTGTCTCATTGGCAATCATACCACATCTCTTTATTTTTATATATGGGGACAATTTTAGATAACAAAAAAAACAAGAGTGCACACGCTGAAATGTCTCGCCTTCTTTACTAATCATTGATATTATGTTGATAGTCCTAAATATAAAGCTTTAATACAACTGTCACATAAACTTAACATTAAAAGTAAACTAAACATTGACCAATGAACCATGAAAATGAGGTCAAGGTCAGATGAACCATGCTAGGCAGGCATGTTCAGCTAACAATTCTTCCATACAACAAGTATGGTTGACCTATTGCTTATAGTTTAAGAAAAACAGACCAAAACACAAAAACTTAACACTGAGCAATGAACCTTGAAAATGAGGTCAAGGTCAAATAAAACCTGCGTGACTGACATATAGATCATAAAATATTTCCATACACCAAATGTAGTTGAACTATTGCATATAGTATTAGAAAAAAAGATCAAATCTCAAAAACTTAACTTTGACCACTGAACCATGAAAATGAGGTCAAGGTCAGATGACACCTGCCAGCTAGACATGTACACCTTACAATCATTCCATACAGCAAATATAGTAGACCTATTGCATGCAGTATTAGAAAAAAAGACCAAAACTCAAAAACTTAACTTTGACCACTGAACCATGAAAATGAGGTCAAGGTCAGATGACACCTGCCAGCTAGACATGTACACCTTACAATCCTTCCATACACCAAATATAGTAGACCTATTGCATACAGTATAAGAAAAACAGACCAAAACACAAAAACTCAACTATAACCACTGAACCATGAAAATGAGGTCAAGGTCAGAAGACACCTGCCAGCTAGACATGTACGCCTTACAATCCTTCCATACACCAAATATAGTAGACCTATTGCATACAGTATAAGAAAAACAGACCAAAACACAAAAAATCAACTATAACCACTGAACCATGAAAATGAGGTCAAGGTCAGATGACACCTGCCAGCTAGACATGTACACCGTACAATCCTTCCATACACCAAATATAGTAGACCTATTGCATACAGTATAAGAAAAACAGACCAAAACACAAAAACTTAACTTTAACCACTGAACCATGAAAATGAGGTCAAGGTCAGATGACACCTGCCAGCTAGACATGTACACCTCACAATCCTTCCATACACCAAATATAGTAGACCTATTGCATACAGTATAAGAAAAACAGACCAAAACACAAAAACTCAACTATAACCACTGAACCATGAAAATGAGGTCAAGGTCAGAAGACACATGCCAGCTAGACATGTACACCTTACAATCCTTCCATACACCAAATATAGTAGACCTATTGCATACAGTATAAGAAAAACAGACCAAAACACAAAAAATCAACTATAACCACTGAACCATGAAAATGAGGTCAAGGTCAGATGACACCTGCCAGCTAGACATGTACACCTTACAATCCTTCCATACACCAAATATAGTAGACCTATTGCATACAGTATAAGAAAAACAGACCAAAACACAAAAACTTAACTATAACCACTGAACCATGAAAATGAGGTCAAGGTCAGATAACACCTGCCAGTTGGACATGTACACCTTACAGTCCTTCCATACACCGAATATACTAGACCTATTGCTTATAGTATCTGAGATATGGACTTGACCACGAAAACTTAACCTTGTTCCCTGATCCATGAAATGAGGTCGAGGTCAAGTGAAAACTGTCTGACGGGCATGAGGACCTTGCAAGGTAAGCACATACCAAATATAGTTATCCTATTACTTATAATAAGAGAGAATTTAACATTACAAAAAATCTGAACTTTTTTTTCAAGTAGTCACTGAACCATGAAAATGAGGTCAAGGACATTGGACATGTGACTGACGGAAACTTCGTAACATGAGGCATCCATATACAAAGTATGAAGCATCCAGGTCTTCCACCCTCTGAAATATAAAGCTTTTAAGAAGTTAGCTAACGCCGCCGCCGCCGCCGCCGCCGCCGGATCACTATCCCTATGTCGAGCTTTCTGCGACAAAAGTCGCAGGCTCGACAAAAACAACAAAATTTCCTAAATTATAATTTTTGACTTCCCTTATACATCTTGATACCACCTTCCAGATTATATATACAATTATAACTTAAGAAAACATTAAAATTTAACATCAATGTCTGTGTAGAATAAAAATCTTTGGCATTAACATGCTCTTGGATGAATAGTTGATAAATTTTTCTATTGGTTCTTACCATAAAAGTCAGCTCCAATGGCCATTCACAGCCTCAATCCTTACAGACAAGCTGTGATGCTAACCTGAAATATAAAATGCTTAGTCATTCAATATTGTTTAAAAGAATCATTAGTTTTCTCGTTTGAATTGTTTTACATTTGTCATTTCAGGGCCTGTTATGGCTGACTATGCGGTATGGGTTTTGCTCATTGTTGAAGGCTGTACGGTGAGCTATAGTTGGTAACTTCTATGTCATTTGGTCTCTGGTGGAGAGTTGCCCTTGATTTCCTTGATAGAGGGTTGCTGCTCACAAGGAAGCTATTAAACCAAGAGTTCCAAATGGTGAAGTTGAAATCATCCCTTTGTAAATTTTACGGACGCCATCACGAGTTGGTTGACCGTTATGGAATATCCGTTTCACAGATGATAGCGGATATGTTCTTAATGTTGTAACTACAATCCTGTTACCTTTTCACGAATGTGACCTACCGAATTAGACTATTTACCGGATTTGAACTAACATGGAGCAACATGAAGGGTGCCACATGTGGAGCAGGGTCTGCTTACCCTTCCGGAGCACCTGAGATCACCCCCAGTTTTTGGTGGGGTTCGTGTTGCTTAGTCTAGTTTTCTATGTTGTGTTTTGTGTACTATTGTCTTTTTCTTTTTTAGCCATGGCGTTGTCAGTTTATTTTCGATTTATGAGTTATAATCTCTCTCTGGTATCTTTCGCCCCTCCTTTGTCTCATTCGCAATTATACCACATCTTATTTTTATATTGTTGGTATACTTTCTATATATGAGTAATAGATTTTGAGAACATATCGATTAGACATCAATCCAACAAACTTTTACATAATCAAATCAGATCCTTATATTTACTCATATAATGGTACTGTACTTCCCACCAAATGCCTTTATAACATACTGGTACCTACCTTCGTATTAGCTGTATAAGACCAGCAAGTCTTATTCCCACACCATGAAAATATGTCACAGAAGAACCTAAAAAGAATTATAAATAAGACATTATATGTTATACAAATCCATTTTTCTGTTAACCTAAAATTTACTAAATATTGTTCTGATTTCTTACTACATATATACAATAGTATAACATCAACACCTGTTTGTAAAATTAATTCAAAAGATGGAAAAACACAGAAAAAGAAGCCAAAGGTTAAGGATTTGAATTTTTAACTGTACAAAAATCATCTACATATTTAACAGAGTTATCTCCCATTCACTGAAAAATCATGCAGTTAATTGTACTTGTCTCACCTTGAAGTTTTATTCCTATCTCAGGATTTACTATTGTTTTAATAGAAAATCTTATGTTATTGAAATGTACCTGGTATCTTAAAATATTATACTGGTAAATCAATTCAGTGGTGTTTTGAAAGCAGAAGATAAGAATACTGTTTATTGTCCCAATATGTACTTTTTATCAAATATTTCTAGAGAATGTATAGAAATTGCTTGGCTTAAATAAACTTGCCTTATTATTTTCTTGGTAAAGCCCCAGACTTGGTTGAAGATTAAATTGACCATCTTCCTTGGAGCTGCTATCCTGGCTGCAAGGTGGCTGTCCTAATTATCTTATTGCCAATCTTTTTTTTTCCATTTGTTTATAGAAATAAAGTTATACATATAAAAAATATCAGATGCACTTTCAATTAATCATCTATTTGGAAATTTTACCCAATTCATTTCTACCGGTAGTGACCCATAATTTCTCCCACCCTTCATATCTATTATCTAGAGCTCTGTTCACATTTTTTTATTTACAGAGCTCTGAATAATAGTCAATATTAGCTAGTATACATCTGATATTTAAAAAAACAATTATACAAATGTGAATATTCAAGTAAATAAAATTACATATTCCCTTACATTTAGGAAATTTCAAGAACGAGGATTGGTATAATATAAATTGCCTCCCTTAGACCTAAACTACACACTGTAAGGTCTCCACCTCATTGCTATATTTAAAAAAATTACAAAAATGGTATACTTAAAATTAAAAATAATTTGATAAATAAATCTAACACATTTCAATAACATATTTAGCACATCAATTATCACCTAGAGGCTTTGGTGGCAGAGTTGTCTTAGTAGTTCAACTACTGTATCACTAGCATGTCAATACTGAGGTTGAGAGTTCAAACTCAGCATGTGGCAGGTGCGTTAGACTTTATTCTTAATTGACTAGGTTTGCCAGTTTTCCTGCTGATGGGTGGTGGTTCTCTCCTGTTACTCCGACTTCCTCAACTAATAAAAGAAATGGCCACCAATGAATTAACCAATTGTGCTGAAAGTGGTTTTTAACACCAAAAATCAATCAAACAATCTTTTTTCACCAAGATGTTCCTTTACTATGCTTCTTGAAAAAAAATCCTAATTTTTTTTTAGCTAAAAACTTAGCTAAAATTAACAAAAAAGATGGAAAAAATATATATATATCTAACAATTCAGGAAACCCAAAAAATACATTTCATTAAAATATCATTTTTTTCTTTTTTTTTTTTTTTAGATTCTCCATTCTTAACCTACTGGAAGTGAGTAGAGATACCAGAGTATAGCCATGGGTTTTAAAGGGAACAAAATACAAATTAACCTTCAACTTCCAATCATTTTGAAAATAGAGAATCTTTACACATTTTTTTTTTTTTTTTGTAAAAAATTATAAACAATTTCTTAAAGATACACAAAAACTGTCTGAATTACTTTCTTTACTGTAACAGTTATATCACACAATCATTATATGCAGCCGCAGTAAATGTTACCTGAAAAAGAAATATACATATGTCAAAACTATATGAAAATCGAAACAAAATTTAATGCACAAGAATAATTAATAGGGCATTACAATTATGATCTTAAAGTGATTTGTTGCAATAAATTTTAAATGACCAGTCTTTATGAGCAAAAAAGGACGAAAAACAAGCAATTGCATGCATGGTTCGATGTCTGACCTATTTCTTATTCATTTATTGTTTTCTCATTTTTACATGTTTGAATTGTTTTTCATTTTGTCATGTTGGGGCCTTTTGACTGTGCGTATTACTGTGTGTTTGTTTATTCTACATTGGCTAGAGGGGGTATAGGGGGAGGGTTGAGATCTCACAAAACATGTTTAACCCCGCCGCATTTTTGCGCCTGTCCCTAGTCAGGAGCCTCTGGCCTTTGTTAGTCTTGCATGTTTTTTTAAATAAGTTCATTTATATGTTTTGGAGTTGTGTGTGATGTCCATTTTCATTGAACTAGTACATATTATGTTTAGGGGCCAGCTGAAGCCCACCTCCGGGTGCAGGATTTTCTCGCTGTGTTGAAGACCCATTGGTGGATGTCGGTTGTTTTCTGTTTTAAAACAGGAATAACATACTGGTACCTACCTACATATTAGCTGTATTAGACCACCAAGTCTTATTCCCAACACCATGAAAATGTGTCACAGAAATAACCTAAAAAGAATTCAAAAATTGACACATAATATATTTTACAAATCCATTTAACGGTCAACAAAAAAATTACTAAATATTGTTCTGATTTCTTAATATCACATATATATACAATAGTATTACATCAACACCAGTTTGTGAAATTAATATAAAAGATGGAAAAATAAAAAAAAAAGTCAAAGGTTTACGATTTGAATTTCAACAGCTCAAATATTATCTGCATATTTTACAATGAGTTATCTCCCATTGAATGAAAAAATCTTGCTGTTAATTGTACTTGTCTCCCCTTTGAGATTAATTCCCATCTCGTGATTTACTTTTGCTATTTTAATAGAAAATCTTGTTCATGTACCTTAAATTTATCTTACAATATTTAACATGTAAATTAATTCATCAATGGTGTTTTGCATGCAGAAGAAGGGTGTTGTTTGTTGTCTTAATATGCAATTTTATCAAATATTTCTAAAGAATATATCAATTGTTTGTCTTTAATAAACTTGCCTTATTATTTTCTTGGTAAAGCCTGAGACTTGGTTGGAGATTTATTTAACCATCTTCCTTGGAGCTGCTATCCTGGCTGCTTGTATATGCTTTTCAAAATTAGGTTTTAATCTGTTCACTGAATCCATTCTATTTAGATAATGAAATGTCATTTCCATTGTAATTTTAAAATAAAATATACAATCGTCACTAGAATGTTCAAAAGCATCTCACATTATTTTTTCTCAAATCATGGCAACTGAAACAATTCTTGATGTAAAATACAAATAATTTATTAAATTCATTTACTGTAAATATACCAGATGTGCTTTTAAACATTGATAACTT